TGTATCCTCCCCCCCCCCCCCTCTAAAATCATTTAAAAGTTATTTAAAAGTATATATGTAGGGGTATGAACTCACCTGTAGTGAGTGATTTGAATGCAAGATCGATATAGGATGCTAAGTATGCCAAGTGAATTCTCGAACACAAACAGATCCTATTAAGCATATAATGACACATATATGTATACAATTAGTGTATATAACAACTAACATGCTAACATAAACAACCTTAGGAACTAGGAAACACTTGCAATGAAGTGTTACAATCACATATGATTGATTGAAGGGAGTTCACGGCCACACAAGGAAGTGTTCACGGCCTTAGGAGTGTTCACGGCCAAGAACACGTGATGTGTTCACGGCCCAACCTTGGTCTATGAAGTGTTCACGGCCATGGATGAAGGGTTCACGGCCATACCATGATCCTATGAAGGGTTCACGGCACAATGAAGGATTCACGGCCATGAACTCTTGAAGAATCATGCCAAAGAGATGTTTGTTTCATGGGGATTCAAGTGCTTCTAATGGACAACAAGTATATGGATGAGCTACTTACGTTTTGGAAGCTTTTAGAGTGTTCACGGCCCAAGAACAAGTGTGTGTTCTTGGTGTTCTTGGTGAAGAAGATGGTGATTTGAAGATCTTGAAGGAAAAGTGATGAATTCAAGGATGTTATCAAAGGGTTTCACTTGTATATGAAGATTAACTAGTAAATAGGGGAGTATCACTTACGTTTTTGAAGAGAAAGTAAGGTTTCCCTTGATGATACTTGAGAGAGTTTGAGAGTTCTTGGTTGGAAGATGTGAGAAACATAAGAAAAATTAAGGAAATCTATATGTGTAGTGAGGGGTTCACGGCCAAACATGGGTTCACGGCCGTGAACCTAGTTTGTGGTCGTGAACATCCCTTGTTGATGTTCTTGGCTCGAATGTATTCCATAGATCCATTACTCACACTTCTTAGTATCAAATCCTAAGTGTACAAGGCTTAAAACTCATAGAATAACCCTTAACATCGCTTAAAGATAACAGAAACAAGTCTAACTTTTGATTGATTTTCTTGACTTACAAGATAGAAACTTACGGGTTGTCACACACTAGAACCAGAGAAATTGTCTTGTGGTGTGGAAAAGCTCGTATGCAAGTGGTCATCATGGAACATCTTCCTTGGTATTAGAGGTTGTTGCTTCCCAATATTTATGGATTTGACATGCTTTTTTTGGGTTACGGGTTCCAAAAACGACGTCAACTTTCTTAATCAGTCATCAATATTCGACGATCTTTTGTCAGGAAAGGCACCGGATGTTCCTTTTACTGAGAATGGAAATGAATATAAGTTTGGGTATTACCTTACGGATGGAATATATCCAGCATATTCCAAATTAGTGAAGGGTTTTCAACACCTAGAAGGAGCACGTAAGGATGTGGAACAAGAAGGAGCACGTAAGGATGTGGAACGTACTTTTGGAGTTCTAAAGTCGAAATGGCATATAGTAGAACATACGGCACGACCATATAAGTTAGACGTTCTACGATATATTATGTATACATGTATCATAATGCATAACATGGTGATTGAAGATATATGACGAAATATTGCCGAGTATTCGGCTACGGAGCCTAGACACGGGCAATTTCAGACAGGGATGACAAAATATTGACATAGAGTCGTTGATATTCAAGACACACGAAAACACATGCAACTTCGAGAAGACCTGGCTGATTTCATGTACGATGGTAACGAAGATGAATAATTTATGGACAAAAATCTTTTTTTTTTGTTTTTTAATGTTATTTGTTTTTGTTGTAATGTTTTCTTTTAATTTTAAATGTTATGTTTAATTAAGAAATTAGGTTTTATTTAAATAACATGTTTTATTAGATTAATTTTGTTTTTATAAATATTAAAAATTTAAGCGGAAAAAAAAATTATGACATCGAAATTAGTGAGTGTTATAACATGTTGTTCAGTTCCTCACTTGGTGTTATAACACTATGAGTGACATGACATGTTATGTGGTACTTTTTCGGTGTGGCACACCATCAGCCTAAGTTAATAAGAGAAACCCAAAATGTTCTAACAATTGGGGTTATTGGCTTAAAATTCATGTATAATTCTTTTTTTCATCTAGCTACTTTCTAGCACCTCTATGCTTAAAAATGCACTTCCAAATATTTGTTCAAAAATAGTTCAGAAACTCTACAACATATATATAAAATGATAAAATTTATCTTGTTTGAAATACTACCATAGTACCATTTAGATTTCAGGTTTTGTTTCATATATATATATATA